CGAACGACCATGTTCCCTGTCGGGATTTGAACCTTCAGCGGTTAGGGGCAAGTGGTTTGAAGTCAATGAACTTAACAACTAAGCCACGGACGTCCTTATCAGTAAACATATGTTAATATAGAGTAAACTTTTATATAAACATAGAATCTAGACTTAATGGGTGTAATGTCTAGATTTTGCTCAATATTTGCTTCAAATTGTACTTCTTAGGTTGCTTTTTCGGCTTTCCCGCCACAATGTATTGCAATCATAGCCGATGTTAATGCATTGTTGACTGACATAGAAGTTAAATGCGTCAATGACCGTTATTAAGATGTTCTTGACTGACGTGTCATGACGTAAAATACTAGAATTACAAGTTTTTCTTAACTATATCATTAATTATTTATATTCATTATCTAAAACAAAACATGAATGTGAGTCGAAACAGGTCTGGTTCATAAATTACTATTATGCGTTTCGATACATTTAAAAATCATATATACTTATTATGGTCAACCAGTGCCGAATGTTTAAATGTATTAAGTAATCATGGCAAATAACTATCAAAAACAAATATTTTTACTTTGATCAAATAATGGACAAGAAAGGAAAGAGATATACAAATGACCCGTGTCACGACAAAACCAACATAGTGGGTTTGCGACCAGCATGGATCCAGACCAGCCTGCGCATCCGCGCAGTCTGTTCGCTAGCAGTTTCTTTACTTGTTATAGGGTCTGTAAGCGAACAGCATGGATCCTGATCAGACTGCGCGGATGCGCAGGGTGGTCTGGATCCATGCTGGTCGCAAACCCAATATGTTGGTTTTGTCATGACACGGCTCAAATATCTGTATATATAGCTTAGTGTAGGTGACTTTTCATTAAGTCATCATATCACACGCAACCTTATTTTGAATTCATTTGTTATTTACGGAAACGTCAAAGGGTCTTCATTAAGTGCGATCATGAGGTGTAAGACGACTGATTTTTGTTCGATTTTATAAAATGTTTTAACAATCATTAACAGAAGTCTTCATAAAATATATCATCACATTCCTATGTCTTAATGCTTGTGCTGCAATATCTTAAGTCCTTATCCATAACACAAGTATTGCAAATCTGTTTTGTCATACTTTAAGCCCCTTTCCAATGTCCTAAATATTGCAAAGGTGTTTTGTCATATTTTAAGTAGTTTCCCATGTCGTTATTATTGCAAAAGTGTTGTGCTCATAATCTAAGTCCCCCCCCCCCCCACATTTCTTCTTCTTCTTCGTCTTCCTCTTCTTCTTCATCTTCTTCTTTTTTTGGATATTTTAAGTGCCTTTTAATGTCATTATTTTTTGCAAATGTGTTTTGTTCATATTTTAGTTTTTTTTCCATGTCGTGATTATTGCAAAGTTGTTTTGTTCATACATGTATTTTAAGCCGAACCCTACATGAAAGTTGTATTTTGAGTACAAATTTTCTGAACTTAATGACTGTCTGATTATAAAGTGCAAGTGATCTTTTGTGACTATTTTATCCACATTGACGTGTTTATGATATTACTTTGTTAATATCTGAGAATCCTATTTATGTTTATAAATGATATTAAGAAGATGGCTGTCTTTACAGTAATTGCAAACATGTATTAATTTGATGCTCTTTGAAAATTAATTGGAGTTATTTTTGAAGTTAATAAATGTATAGAGGTATAATAATGGGAGACAAAACATGGAGATGGACCTTATAATTACTGTTCTCTTTTAGATTGATATTATTCTTTATAGTCAAAAGTTGAAAAGTTTATGTGAACCAAATGCTTCATTTGTACCCTTGTTTGTTTGTTTTCTCAACCATTGGTTCTAAAGTTGTTTTTTATCTGAGCAATATACAATGCTACAACAGTTTAAATGATATTATGCCTATCCAAGTGCACAAGTTACCGTCAAAATACATTGCAAACATTGCATTTTACCATAATTGTGTGCTATTATATACCTGACTATTCAAAAAAGAAATCAATAGCCCACGTGACTCATGGACCAGCTCTATTAGTATTCCCCAGAATGTTACGATTGCAACAATTTCAAAAAATAATTGGGCAGTACTTTTATAATATGTTAGTTTTTATATTTTATCCTAAACAACCTATACTGTGTCGGTGTGACGTAAAATCCAAACAAACTAAACATTTTTCATTATCATTTACTAATAAATCACCATTATATAGTCAATCGTTTGAACTATATTAGTAATTCAACTTAACTTGTCATAAAAAAAATGAGCATAATATGTTGCATTAAAAGGATCGAGTTACAGCAAGCAAAAGATATATATTTGGCACGTGATTTGTGATGTGACATTTAGTACTTTTTCAAGACTGTTCAAGTTATGTATCGGGTATCAAATGTGCCAATCCATTGGAGTCATTCTTTAAAAGACGGCTTATTTAATTAGTTCTCTTTCCATTCCCATCACCATTGCAGGCACGCTTTTAGCACCAACAACAATTTTAACCCCTCAAACATCAAGAATAACAAATAACTAACATGTTGAAATTGATATTTTTCATCAGTAATTAAATTTTATCTTTTTTTTTTGCATAAAAACTCGGCACTCAGGTATACAACATTAATAAACAGATGAACTCAGACTATTGCACGTTTTAGTATGTGCAAATCAGGGCGCCTTGGAACAACAGCTTACTGCAATGAAATCCCCGGTAGTTTTATTATCAAAACATAGCACTAGCACGCGTAATTACCAAATTAGCCGCAGCATGGTATTTTTTTCTTTTACTTTTATGCAAGAATAGCGATAATGAGCGTTTTTGTGCATTTATATCTGGAGAAGTCCTTCGTATTATTTAATATATATCGTCCTATAAATGCGTAATCGTGATTTTGCAGATGTTTATGCACGAACGATCTAGCATTAGTTCTCTGTTGTGTCAAAAACGCTTTTGTAGTATATATATATATATATATAAAAATATAAAAACATAGTCCATGAGTTTTTTGTATATATACGAGTATATATATTCAATGAGTAGAACGGGCGACTGCTTCCCGGTTTATTTTATTATCTTTTTATAATATTTCTTTATCAAAAGTAATAAATGGTTCCCGGTTTTATTTCTCTTTACGTGAAACGTGTCCATAAATTACAGCACAAGAGTCTTCAATTAAATTATACCTACGTCGTAATGTCATTTACATGACTTTAATTCTTAAGATAAAATAAGCACGTTGTGGCGATTTCAATCAATTTTTGTATGGAAAAAAATGATAGAAACGAAAGTTTCATACAATAAAGTGATTACAGAATACTTCATTCAACGATCGAAGATTCAACTTAAAGATAAGAGCCTGATAAATAAGGCCAATTTAAGGTTTAAAGATAACCCACTTATTTAAATGCAATAAAAAACTATAGTATGTATCCGCACGGGTAGTATCCGTCCATGCGCTGTTCATTTTAAATCACGTATGATGATTGATGTCACATTTCAGCTTAAGTTTAAGACTGTTTAAACGATTGTATGAATTGCTACATTAGTTTTAATGTTATTTTTCTGTACAAATTTTCTAGCCTTTTGTTTAATAAGAACACAATTTCAATAGAACCATATACTGCAAAAACATGTATACATATATACTTAAAAAGATGTATATGTGTGTAAACAGTAAATCTTACTTCCAAATATAGTCAAACGTGTGTCAAAAACCACATTCGTATTTGAACTACAGGTCTGTAAAGCCACAATTTTTTTTATTCTCATTAAGACCAGTTAAATAGTCAAATTTTTATTATTTCCGGAGACCACCTGATATCAGAGACCAACCAACTATATATTAAAATTTCTATCCCCAATACCGACAATTTAAGGCATGTTTTATTTATTAATAATATGTTTCTTATTAATTGCCTTGTGCCAGTAACAATTAAAATGAGATCTATTTGTCACAATGAGATCAGCATTATTTAACAGATGTTTTCCCGGTTGTCCTCAGCCTTAACTTTTCCCACTGTCGAATTTAAAGATACCATCAGCTAATATAAAGTCCTTCAATCTACATTGAAAACTTCAATATCAAAAGATTTTTAAGACTCAAGTTCGACATTGATAGAATGAAAATGGTCAATAGGTAATAGTTATTGGCGGGAGACCTTGATGTTTAATTTAATTTCATTGAATAGATTGTACAATTGATAAACAGTTTGGAATACTTTAACGCTGGAGAATTCATACGGCTTTGTTAGCGAATTTTACGAAAGCATTTTCATACATTTCCGAATAAAGGTGTTAAAATTAGAGGTTAAATGTTACTTCAGAGGGGTGATTTATATTTTGTGAGAAACAACAAAGGAACTTTTCGTGAAACATGAAGACATGTGTTATTATATTGTAATCGTATTAAGCCGCTACATATCGCGACATTTATTAATACAAATATAAGTCAAACGTCACAAAAGATTAAAATATCAACTTATACGAACGGATTAAATGAAAACTTCGTATGACTTATAGTGCACGGCCGTGATTTTAATCCGGAGTATTCTCTCTTGTGAGACGGCCATTTAAAAATGGACGAATTTAACTTTTTTATTTGAGGCAGAAAAAGATAGTGAAAGAAAGAAGTTTAGAAAACTCTTCACAAATAAATCTCGTACAGCTTAAGAGCAAATAGGCAATAAGATTAGATTATTGATTTACAACTTATCAAAATATTTTGTTTACTTTTCGGAATATTATCACAAAATATTACCAGTATTTGACGATATTCTCGCAGTAAAAGAACCAAATGTTGAACAAAACTTTATCATTTAAAGATAAGTTTTCTTTACGTGAAAAGAAGAACAAAACAGCACGGATAAATAAGTGTGTAAAAGTTATAATTTGGATTAACTTTCAACCGTTATGGAACTATTTAGTGAATATGTATTTATTAACTGACATTATTTATGTTTTTAATACAACTTAGTGGTTTCATATGTCTAAAATAAAATGACAAAACCGTACTCTAATTCCAGTTCAGTGGGGATTGCCGTGGACAGTGTGGGTAAGGAGGATCAATCTCGTGTAAAGAAGGAAAGTACTTACTATATGGATAACTACGAGGCGACGATAACTGTACATAAATCCCCGCCTCAACAGAGAAAACAGTATTTTGATTATATTGAAATTGACGATGAGACGCAGGACACCACTGAAAGAATTTACCCTGCATATAAACTTTCTAAAAGGAAAAACTTGAGAGTGACGTTTAGTGACCACATAGATGTGGATGTTATTGAAGACTATGAAAGTTATGACGAAGAAGAAGATAAAAATAGTGTTCTAGAAGAAGCTGTCTATGAAATTCCCTTAGACAGGACTAAAGGTCTACGGCAGATTTCCAGCAGTGCTGAGTTCAGGTCAGTGACTGAAAATATATCACCTAGACAAACAAAAACACAACCTGTCGGTGATGCAAAAACTACAACAAAAACACCTGTTACAAAAACTAAGCCTCAATCTCCTCAAATAGCTCCGAGCTCTCAACCTTTACTCCAAAAACGGCGGACTAACAACACATCGAGAATGTCATTAGCTGATTTGGAAAAGAAAACAAAAGAATACATGGTTCAGTTACATGAAAAAACAAAACGTGCAGAGGCACAAGCTCGGGTTGCGCGAGCAATTTTTCCGGACATTTCAGCGAAAGTAAGATCACAACCAAATTATAAACAGTTTATAGCAAATGCAAGACGCGCTGTTGAAATTACAAGGAAATATGAACGCCCTTGGGTGAGTGGAGCTTCATCCCAAAATCAAACTGTGTGGAGGCCTAAAACTGAATCGATGAGAAGAACAGCATCTCTTCCAAAGAACTTTAGGTTACCTGACAATTTAACATCAGACAGACATTCTCGACCTAGTTCCAATGATATTCTGCTTGCAGGAGGTGACCGCCAACGGCTACATAATTCATAGTCAAATCTTATTCAAACAACGGTATTGTTCCTTCTCTCCTTCTCTGTTCCGTGACATGATAAAACGGAATTATGAAACACTGAAGCACATACAGTTTTCATTTTCTTTTTTCTTCTTCTCTCGACGTAAAATTTGAATGGGAAAAGAAGAATGTTTAATACAATGCAAATAGAAATAGTGGAACGATGGTGGGTAGCATCGATAAGGTATATGTGCATTTAGCTATTGGAATGTTGTGTTCACTATTTATGTTTGATGTTGTGAATAAGAAGACCTGTAAAAGATACTGAGACCTGTTTCAGAGCCTTATCAGAAATGGAACATAAATTTTAACTCGGAGTGTTTAAGGGTTGTTTTTATGTTGATAAAATGCATATATTTTGAACAGGAAAAAATGGTGTTTGCTAAAAGTTAGGGTAAATACTGTAACATACATTTTCACAATAGTTCTTTCATCAAAAGGGTACTAGTATAGTTTACTTCAATATTACAAAGTATTTCATTATTTAAATTTGATTCAGTTTTAAAGAAAACACATTGATACAAGTTATTAATTACTTAAAAAGAATATTTAAGGGTCACAGATTCAGTTGTTTCTGATCAAAGCCAATGTTCCTTAAAGCTGCTGTTAAGTACAATTTGGCAAGGATTAGAAGTAACAATTTAGAAACTGTTAGGGGTCAATAACTCTTTCAAAATGAAAGGAGAAGTTCATCAGCAACTACCGAAAACAAAAGAAGAAATTTCACAATTAAAGATGTTTTTCACAGAGCAATTTTTACCTCTCCTGGCCGCCTTTTTTGAGGGTCTATTCAAATAAGATAGAACAAAAATCTAAATATTTCTATCTTCTTCATGAAAACTGATAGCGTACGTATGTATATCTTACATACTGATGTTTTTATAATATTTCCTTCATATGTAAAAAAGAATTTGATGACTCACATAAAGTTCCTGTTTAAAATGATTTTTTGTTCATGTTTTGTCTATCATATTACATAGAATGTTAACCCCCACCCCCCGCCCCACTAAAAAAAAGGCTGACACTTTTGTCAAGGGAGGTAAATATTGTAAAAACTGCGAAACATATAAATCACAAATAGTACCTTATTCCACACTTTCGACTATTACATATACATGAACTTTAAGTTAATCATTTGTTACGCTTATTTGATATTCCAAAACTCTAAACAGTAACTTTAAATTCTTAATTTCTGAAACTTTACAAAATTTTCGAAACTTCTCCCTTTTTTACTCTTATTTAGTTTTTGTAAATTGTGTTTTTGTAATTTAGTTTATTGTGATATTTCCGGAAAGAACCGTTTGCTTATGTTGTTAGAATTTGCAGGTCAACCTGTTCACTTCTGTTGGCTATTATGCATGTATATACTGCTATTCATGTTGGGGAAGGTATAAATATGTTTAAATAAGAGAAATAAGAAAAAAGAGCTTTAATTGAATGAAGTAGAGAGGATAGATAGACTCAGTCTTTTTCCTGTTTAGTTAGAGTGACACATATCGAAGAGCAGTATTTCTTAATAAATTTTGACGTTTAAAATAGTATTTTTGACGCAAACTTTTACAGTCAGTTTGTGATAATTTTTATTTATTCTGTAATTGCATTCAAATTCATATAGACTAAATTCTGGGAATACAAAAAGGACTTTGTGGCCTTTATAAGTAAAAGTCTTTGAATTATATATTTTCTTTTTGGAAGATTAAATGAACGTGGCTATGTTTTCTTATTATGGTTACGTGACAATACAAAAAGGAGAAAAAGATATGCCGAAAACTGACAAAAAGGACATTGTTGTCAATGGACTTCTAAAACAGATGTATTTGCATGTATTTATAAATATTCCAAACAGAAAAATAAGATGGAGGTCTGTAAAAACAGGGTTGGTGTTCTGTACATGGTCGGTATAAATGCGGGCTTACACTACAGGTGACTCTGTAACTACTTTCTAAAGCGAAACTGTGATACGTTATGATTAATAAAAAAAAAATGAAACTATTTTGAGAATGTAATTCTGACAAGTCAAGATCACAGCGTGAGCTTCTATAAATTTAGACATAAAATCGAACCGTTGTAAAGGTACAAATTATCTAATCGATTAAATAAATTCTTTTGTAGTCATTTAACGTATTTCAATATCAAGAACCATTTAAACTCTGTAACCGTACAGGTGTAAGAATATATTTTCAAATTTATGTCTAATTTATGTCATATTAAATAAATTTATTTTTCTATCTTCCCGGTTTGTTCGTGCCAAATATTGTGATAATATGTTGATATTCAATGATATTATTATTGACGTTTTATGTTTATACGCAATATGTTTAATAAAGAGAGAGAAATTGCATTTTTCTTATTTCTTGCTCGAAAGTCACGTGATTCGTTGAAGGTATAATACTGATTATACATTTGTATGTCCATTCAAATCACTTTTCTTGCACAAAAATGTGCTACTTTGCAGTGGATTTTGACCAAACAACTCTGCTTTTTCGACATATTGGTTCATATTTTAATCACCTCTTCCAATTGTTTTAATGATATCTTTGAAATATAGAATATTTATTTTGTACATCAGCATTCATACTAGACAAGAGTTCAAACTTATGCCATTAATAGTTTCTCTTTTAACTAAAAAAGCTTCAAAAAACAGATATTCTTATTTGACTGTCAACTTTTGTCGTTTAAAATTTAACTTAAAAGTTTTCAAAGACCAGTTTTTATTAAACTGTCATCTATTGTCGTTTAACAACTTAAAAGTTTCTAGAGACCAGTTTTTATTTAGCTGTCAGCCATTGGCGTTTAACAACTTAAAAAGTTTCCGTTTCCAGAGACCGCCTTCTCTGCTTTGAATATTTAGCTGTTAGCTATCGGCGTTTAACAACTTAAAAGTTTCCAGATACCAGTTTTTATTTAGCAATCAGCTGTTGTCGTTAATAAAGTTTCCAAAGACCAGTTTTTATTTAACTGTCAGCTATTGTCGTTTAACAACTGAGAGTTTCCAGAGACCAGTTTTTATTTAGCTATCAGCTGTTGTCGTTAATAAAGTTTCCAAAGACCAGTTTTTATTTAACTGTCAGCTATCGTCGTTTAACAACTTAGAGTTTCCAGAGACCAGTTTCTATTTAGCTATCAGCTGTTGTCGTTAATAAAGTTTCCAAAGACCAGTTTTTATTTAACTGTCAGCTATTGTCGTTTAACAACTTAGAGTTTCCAGAGACCAGTTTTTATTTAGCTGTCAGCTATTGGCGTTTAACAACTTAAAAGTTTCCAGAGACCAGTTTCTATTTAGCTGTCAGCTATTGTCATTTCACAACTTAAAAGTTTCCAAAGACCAGTTTTTATTTCACTGTTACCTATTGCCATTCAACAACTAAAAAATTTCCAAAGACCAGTTGTTATTAAGCTGTCAGCTATTGTCATTTCACAACTTAAACGTTTCTTAAGACCAGTTTTTATTAAGCTGTCACCTATTGTCATTTAACAATTTAAAAGTTTCCAAAGACCAGCTGTTCTTATTTAACTGTCAGCTATTGTTATTTAACAACTTAAACGTTTCCAAAGACCAGTTTTTATTCAGCTATCAGCTGTTGTCGTTAATAAAAGTTTCCAAAGACCAGTTCTTATTTAACTGTCAGCTATTGTCATTCAACAACTTAAAAGTTTCCAGAGACCAGTTTCTATTTAGCAATCAGCTGTTGTCGTTAGTAAAAGTTTCCAAAGACCAGTTCTTATTTAACAACTTAAAAGTTTCCATTATCATTATTTTCGTTTTTACTTCTAACTGAAAGTCAGCTTAGCACAATTATCTCCAACCGACCAATTGTGTATATTTCATACTAAAATCGACAACGTGTTTTTACTGATCAATAATTCTTGCCACATGAACACAACTGAAAGACATGTAAGCGGCCCTTTCCTTTCGTGCGTTAATTTTGTCATGGGGGCTTTTGTTACAGCACAAACTGAATCTCTTATTTACACATAGTCAAAAATACCTTCTCACGTGCAAAGAATGATTGTTTTCTATGTATTTCGGTAATTTCCGTTAAAAAGAGACCGAAAGCGCCATTTCGTTCCTACCCATTTCCTCATGATTTCATACCTTTTTCATTCAGTTTGACCTTCTATCACAATTTACAAATATAGTCTGATTTTATTGACCTGTCAATAATGAATACATTATAGCACTCATTTAAATATTCGATCCCACTTCGGTTTTGTCCGTTTATTTTACGAGAATTAATATGGAGTATATCACTAACGTTTGGAAAACTCCCACTAACTTAATGAAGGTTCTCGTAACATCCGCAATAGCACAGTCGGTTAAGTAATTACCTAATGTATGAGAGGTCCGAGGTTCGATCCCTTTTTTGACATTCTTTTTAGACTTATTCTCTCTTTATTTTAGGTATATTTTAAAGAAAATTGTCAAGCGCTTGCAAAATTGTCTACACGGAATGAAACAACTAAGAAACACTGAATTGTCACATTTTGTATTGTATTTTACGGCACTGAAATTACATTTATTGATTATAATCCGACTGAATTTTCAGTATCAATTATATACAAAAATATAGTATTTACAAAAGAGTACAAAACATATTAAAAACAGAACAACCATAACTTTGAAAATGGTTATGAATAAGAAAAAAACCATGGACATACACTGTCTCGATCTTACATGATGTAGGACATTTTGATATTATATACCCCTGGTTTACCCTATTGCGCTATAACGGTCAGTGTAACTAATTCATAGAAACAAGATGAATTTGATCACATTTTACTGCGTACCTCTCACGGAATTTACCGAACATTTATCGAATATTAATATATTCTGTGCATTGACCGTATAATGAGTATGGAATTGACAGGTTAATAAAATCAAACAATATCTTTACTTAATACATTTTTCGAAATGATCAGTAAATAACGGTTGTAAAAAGTGAAGGTCAAATTATGACATTGCAACAGCTTTATACTCCAACCGCCAAATCCCCACATAGACTATTAACTTTATATACACAATGTATATGAGCCGTGTCACGACAAAACCAACATAGTGTGTTTGCGACCAGCACGGATCCAGACCAGCCTGCATCCATCCTGTTCACTTACCAACTCGAAAATGATAGCGAACAGCATGGATCCTGATCAGACTGCGCGGATGCGCAGGCTGGTCTGGGTCCATGCTGGTCGCAAACCCATTACGTTGGTTTTGTCGTGACGCGGCTCATATATAAAAGTGTCACTTATATTTTTTTGACAGCTGCAATTATCACAATAGTGGTGATATTGTACTCCCCGATACTGTTATATTTTGGTCTGCGAAGATCTGTGATGTTATCTTAAACATATTATATTTTATATTGAAATAATGGTTTAACAGGATAATATGCTATAAGAAATGACAGTTTAATTGTAGAAAATGACAAGGCCATTTAACTTAAGAGGTGTACTGATATGAAAACTGGTGACTATAATTAATACCGCTTAAAATTAAATTATTTAAATTGTTAAGTATGCAAAAGAGAACCTTTTTAACCCCGTTCGTTCGTGATTTAGAACTTACATGACATTTGATAGGTTGTTAGAACGAGATGTTAGTACAATTTCTGCACGGTATGACTCCTGACTGTCACCGTCTGTCACGGTCTGTCATAAAGAGAAATATCATGATCGATACTTGACTCCAGCATTTATTTCTATGTCCGAAAGCGCGCCCTGAAGTTATTCAAAATAATACAAAAGACTTTCATAAACTCTTATACTAAACTCACTTTTGATTATTTTGTGTACATGTAATGACTTTCTTAAATTACAAAGTAGAACGCGCTATGTGCATAGCTATGTGCATATACAGTTTCCAGTTGTAATAGATAGACTAATACATATACAGTTAAATGTTAAAAAGTACTATTTGTATATGTATTGCATCTGAAAACGGTGTCATTCTGTCTTATAAAGTCGAAAATCACCATTTTAATTATTTTAAATTATTTGATATATAATGTATTTTGTCTTTCAATCTTTATAACTTTAAAGACACCTAATGTCAAAGAAACGAATAAATCTTTACTTCTCTAGAAAAGGGCAAATATCAGTTTTATAACGTTTAACTGACAAGTTTAGAGAATAGAAGTAGTGTATTGTAATTAAAGTAGTATTTTTGTACTTCCATACTAAATGCGAAATCAAAATAACTGCACGTATTGAACAGAAAATCAACAGAAGCAAAAGATAAAGTCTTTCACCAATGTGTAACATTTTTGGAAAATATAACAGGATACCAGACATAAAAATGTTTTGGAAAACAAAAAGAAAAGCATAATGGTTCTTTAAGAAGAGATAGAGGAAAATAAGAATAATAAGGAAAAAGACCTCTCGTTAACTTTGGTAGCTCACTCATCTTTTTTCATCATCAGCTCATGGACACGGATCATTTTCTTTACCAACACTCACACTGTAAGACCTCTTGTAGTCTTTGGTAACTGATGCATCTTTTGGTCTCCATCATCTCTCATTGTCCGTAATAGGTTTTGATTGATTGTTCAATCATTTTTCATTAACCCTTAACCTGCTTAATTTGTGAAATGGATGTACCCAGCTTTGAATTTGGAACAGACCATTCAAAGTCTAAAGGATTTCAGTTCAGTGACCGGTTACTCTGCACAGATATTTTGGCTGGCCTCGCATTTTATTGATGACAAATGGTAATCATCTTCGGTTTCAGCAAGTTTAAGGTTAAACATGGCAAACATCATTTCTGTATGTTCATAGCAAGCTCATTATAATCTACATGTATACACATTCATCGATAGAAATTTTAACCAATATTCATAATTATATATTCTTCATCAGTTACTGTACACGTGAATAATTATGTCCATATTGACTTCAAATTCCATTGTGTTGAAGGCCCATTATTCCTCAGCAATGTTTTTTCGCTTTATTTCCCATTTTTTGTGTTCTTTAATAGTTTTTAAGAAAGTTACTAATTGGCCAATTACCTTACGTTTCTTTCTTTTCGTTTGCTTTTTTGTCAGTTGGTAGTTATAGTGAATTAGTATAATGCATGGCAGTCAAACTACTACTCTGTTTACATTTTGCAATTATTATGACATATAATTTCACATTCTCCTGGTATCAAGCATCTGACATGCTCTAAAACCATTATTTAAACATTGTAAAATTCATGTTTGCCTTGTGAATAAAGGTAAATATTTTATCTGTTTCTGAGACATACTAAATGCGCCGTTAATAGAATATCTTTATCTAAACCCGTCGTCATGGAGACAATAAAATAAGCTCCTGCCTGCCAAGTGACGCGAAGATCTATTGATGGTC